TTACAGGCCATTGGCAAAATGCCTTCTCAGATTCTGGTATTCAAAACATTCAGACCATATTAAAAAAACCACAGGCCAGGAAAGCGCAGCTAGTACATTTCAATGTTTTCACAGACATGAACACTCACGGAGGCCACTGTCTGGGCAATGCACCCGGCCGCCGCTCGGGAACTTAAACGCACAGGACAACACGGGGCAGCAAGCTATCTCATTTCTGGAAATCTGATCTCTCCTTGGTACCACGGAGCTCCCTCCTTTAGAGAAAGCAGGCTGTGCTCACTTGGATGGACCTGGTTCCAGCCACGGAGTGACTCCTACCAAGAGGTGACTGGAGGGCCCTTTTGTCAGGAAGGCCAGCGCTCTGAAGAACCCATCCCCTCGCCAAGAGCAAGCCCCCCAGCACCATTTTCCTTCCGGACTACCGAGACCAGTGCTCCACAGTTGTCTCCCACTAGGACGACTTGGCTTAGTGGTACTGGCTTCTTGCGTCCATCAAAGTCAATTAAGCTAGCATTTTAAAAGGATACCAACCTCAAGCCTCTTTTCAAGTGAGTCGATTCTGTCCTTTTTGCTAGCAAGGTTGGCCCGCGTGTAGCGGCTCTGCCCAGGGAGATAGAGAACTTGACTGTAGCACTCTTCCCACACCTGGCTGTAAGCTTCGCTGGAGAGCTCTCCGTGGCTCATTCCTTGCTTCACAACTTCCATCTCCTGCACCAGAACGTCCTCGGCCTGTCGACAGGAGCAAGCGGGTCAGCCTGAGCAGGAACAATACAAACACCACTCTTCCCTCCTGCCTGAGGCCAAGGAGAGGGCTTTCGGACAGTGGGCGTCTATTTGGAGGGGTGACAACACCTGGGCAGCGTGAATGAAGACTCCCAGAGGTCGATGTGGGCTGATTAACAAACATCTTTTGGCTTCATTCGTCTTAGCAGCAGCTACCGTTCCGCAGGTGCCAGGACCTGGGTGTGAAATTTGTGCCTGCATTATCTGAAAACATCACACCACCTCACCAAGGAGACAATAGTAACCTCACTTTAAAGCTGTTGAACTAATGCTCTGAGAAATGAAGTACCTTGTCAAGAGCACACTGCTAGAAAACAGAAAAGGGAGGACCCCACTTAGGAAGGGAAATTGCTTAACAAAGACTCGTCAATCGGGTGTCTCTGTACCTCCCACCAAATGAGTGGGTGGGATCAGGCAATAATAAAGTGTAGATGCCTCTAAGTCAGGGTCTGGGCAGTTGTGTCACTTCTCTGGGTATAAGAGAGCCATCTCAGATGCAGGCACAGCATCGTGAGGCCAGCAAGAAAGAAGAGCCACACCTTCCCGACACAACCGCTGAAGACAAAGCGGGTGAATAATCAAATGTGGTGAAGAAAGCTGATGGTGCCCGGCTATCAAAAGATATAGCGTCTGGGGTC